GTTTGGAATAGATTTTTTGACCTTTTTTAACTTTTGTGAGAGAAAAAATAAAATTATTGTGATTTGAATGTGATATTTTATCTTCTTAGACTAAGGGTTGGTTTGAGATGTTCTAAAAAAGTGTACTTTTTGACTTATTGGTTTATATGGGTTGGGTTTGGGTTGGGTTTGATGCGATGTGTTATAGAGGTGATGTGATTTAAATAAGTTGATGTGACTTAAATAGGATAGTGACTTTTTGACTTTTTGTATTATTTAGGTCATGCCAAACTTGGCCTAAAATGTATAATTTATTTTTTTGTGACTATTTTAATTCAAACCCTATATGCCAAACAAAACCTAATCAAGGCATGGTTTGGGAAGAGGGTTTAGAGGCTTTTTTTTTTTGTTAAAATAGCTATAAAAAGCAAAATAGATTTTTTAGTCCAATGAGACACACCATGCCTAAGATACTCAGCTGGAAAGAAACCCCCTCTTTTTAGATATATTTCAAAAACTTTGGGAAGACGGTTTATAGGCTTTTTTTTTTGTTATTTTAGCCACAGAAGAAAAAATAAGTTATTTTAGCCACAATCAACAAAACATCACATCCAATCCATAATCATTATACTCTTTTCTCAACAAAAAAGTCAAAAAAATCAAAAAGTTATTCTCAAAGCTTTTTAACCCAGACTAAAATAACAAAAAAACTAAAAAGCCAACTTACTTCCCAAACCAATCCATAAAAAAAAAATCATTTTCAAAACACTTTTGATTTGGCAGTTTTTGTTGTATCAGTAAACCAACTACAACAGAGAAGCCCCCCTCTTTCTAGGTATATTTCAAAGACAACAAGAACATAAAAGAAAATCATTTTCAAAACACTTTTGATTTGGCACTTTTGTTGTATCAGTAAACCAACTACTACACGTACCCAAAAAGAACTACAACTACTACGTCCCAACAATTTCTTTCTTTTTTATAATAATATTTTTTTTCCCCAATTTAAATAATAAAGTAAATCAGAGATGGGTAGTTCATGAAATGATATAATTAGATAAAGATATGATGGTGGATTGTGTGTGAAATGCCCCACCAATCTGTCTGAGAGAAAATAATAGTAACCATTAATGGAATTTAGTTTATGAGAGACTGCAGTGCTTTAATATTGCTCAGAATGTGTTGTCAATTTCGTGTTAATTTACGTTAAAATCTGATATTTCAATAGAGAATATGTATTTTTTTCTTTAAAATTTTGTGATTCATGGAGGAGTCGTATTTCAGAAAGTTTAATGCAAATCCAGATATTCTGAGCCCTCGTTTGGTGATGGATTAAAATAAAGTTGATAGATTGTTCAGTCATAAAAATATAAAATAAATATAAAATAAATTAAAAAATTAGTAAAATAAAATATCTCTTTTAAATTATAATCATTTTTTTTCTCTCATAAAAAAAAAAAAAACTCAGCACGAATGAATTTTTTGCTGCTCAGGATTTTCAAGCTAATAGTCAAAAAGTAAAAAAAAAAACTCACTTTCCAAACGAAGCCTGAGTTTGGGCTCGAGTGTCGTTAATTTCTCTTTTCTTAACTGATTCTAGCGGGTGACACAAGTGATCGTGTGTAATTCAGATAAGTAAAAATATAAATAAATAAATAATTGATTAATATTATGATATGTATGTTGCCTAAGTAATATAAAGTGATAAGTGTGTTTTTAATGAAATTCAATATTTTGGACTTTAAACTTGCTTACGTGCCCTTTGAATAATAATTTTTTATTTTAGATTAAATAAAGTTACCACATAATATGCGGTAAGGCTTTACTACAACAAGACCTCACTTAGGCTTCGTTTGGGAAGTTGCTATTTTAGTAGGCTATTTTAGTTTTTAGCTATTTTAGTAGGCTAAAATTTTTGTGTTTGGGAAAATGATTGGATTTTTTTGTGATTGGATGTGATGTTTGTGAGAGAAAAAGTGAAATGATTATGAGCTTGATGTGATATTTTGTCTTATTAGCTATTTTAGCCTATTTTATTTTTTTGTAAATTTTAGCCTAAACTAGACCATTTTTTTCTTGCCAAACACTCCCTTAGTATAGATTACAATTTGTGAATGACAATAACTATTCAGATTTGATATGTCTAAGAATGTCTCCAATACTTTTGAACGAATAAGTCTAAGAACGTCTCCAATACTTACTTAGATCAAATTTGATAAAAAACTTGGTAAACATTAGAGATGCTCTAATGTGACCTTATCTGTGTCTAGAGTATTCTGAAAATAATATTTGGTACAGTTTATTATGCTGTGTTTGGTTGGGGGATTTGAGGAGGGATTTGGAAAGGGAAATGAAAAAAGTAGGTGAAATGTGAATAAATCATGCCTATATTTCACATAGTTTCACACACCTTTTTCCTTTCCTTTTCCAAATCCCTCTCCAAATCCCCCAACCAAACACAACATTAGCCAACTTTTGAAAATTTATATCTTTAGTCTATTTAAATATTTTTGCTTAATAAATTATATGGAGAAACTATACCGAATAATTTAGCATTAATTCCTAAAATAAAAAAAAGTTATAAACAGTTTAGATAAATTGTAATAAACTGCCCCAATATGACTGTTGACTTTTTTAGTTGATGTCAAATTAATTGGTGTGAGATATTTTAAATAAATATATTTTTTGACTTTTTATAAAAAGATGAGTAGAAAAATAGAAAAGAAATATTGATTGATGTGACCCAAATAAGTACACTTATGCAAAAAAGTGCACTTTTGGGACTTAATTCTCAAACTCTAATTGAAAATAAATTTAACTAAAATCATTGTTAAAAATAATTTTTTTGTGACGATTTTTTGCATATGTCGTTAAAAATTGATAATTAGTGACTTTTTTTGTCACTATTTTTTTTAAAATTGTAGTTAAAATTTACATTTAGTGATTTTTTTTTGTAACGAATTTTTCAAACTGTCATTGAAAGTTAAAAATGTGTAATTTTTTTGGATGATTTTTTTAAACTGTCACTAAAACTTATAATTAATGACATTTTTTGTGACAAAATTTTCAAACTATAATTAAAAATTAACAATTAGTGATATTTTATAATAGTGTTTGATAAAAAAATACCATTAATTATCATATGATTTATTGAATAATAAATTCACCTATTAAGACTTACATGTAAGTCTCCTTTAATATTTTAGGGTTATATTAGCAAGTTTCTAGCCTTTGTTTGGGAAGTGGGTTGACTTTTTAGCTTTTGACTTTTTTAGCTATTTTAGCCTGGGCTAAAAAGCTTGGTTTGAGAAGGATTTTTTGGCTTTTTGACTTTTTTGATTTTTTTTGTGAAAGAAGAGTGTAATGATTATGGGTTGGATGTGATGTTTTGTTTTTTGTGACTAAAATAACATATTTTGTCTTTTTGTGACTAAAATAGCCAAAAAAAACCCATTTTAATTCTTCCTAAACGGACCCTAAGATAGCTTTGAATAACAATGCTTAAAAATTAATTAACTTGTTTGGTTTTAGTTTTTCATAAAACATTCTTCAGAAATTTTTTTTTTGGTTTTCAATTAATTTTATTTAATATTTGAATTAATTTTTTTTTAATTTTTAGAAACCTAAAATAAATACATTTAAAATATATAATATTTGTGAAAAATATATTTAAAAAATTCACTAAATACCAAAAATACGAAAATTCAATACCTTTTCCATATTTTTGTGCATTTATTAATTTTTTAAAATATTTTTCACAAATATTTTACTATTTAGTTACATCAAAGTAAGGTACATCTAAAAAAATAAAAAAATTGCTTAAATTTTTTTAAAAAAATTAGAAAATTGAAACCAAATACACTGAATTATTCTCTCCATTTTTTTATACGTATTTTTAATTAGTAAAAAATTACTAAATAAATCTCTTTCCAAAACAATCAATAATTTTTATTTTTATTTTTTATAACTAAAATCTAACTTTTTTGGAAGCTGCCAAACAGTTCTTAAATTTTACTCATGATTATTAATTTTCAATTAGGAAAAAATTACACCAAACAGGTTACTGGGAAAAAATATATTTCTTGGTTTATTGTTATTATTATTTGGAACTATCATAATCTTTGTGCCTCTGTTTGGGATTGGCTTTTTGGGGCTTTTTTGGCTAAAATAGCCACAAAAAACAAAATAGGCTATTTTAGCCACAAAAAACAAAACATCAAATCCAACCCATAATCATTACAATCCTCTCTAACAAAAAAAGCCAAAAAAGCCAAAAAGCCAAAAAGCCCTTCCCAAACCAGGCTAAAATAGCCCAAGCTAAAATAGTCAAAAAGCCAAAAAGCCAAAAAGCCAACCCACTTCCCAAACGGAGGCTGTGTGTGTTCATAACAGAAAGATGAGATCAAGAAACAAAGCCCAAAAACCAGGTGACAAGTAGTGAATCAAAAAAGTATTTGAGAAAATATTATTTTATTAATTTTTTTATCAAAAAAATATACCAAAAAAATAAATAGAGTGAGACGATGGTACTCAACTTCAAGTTGCTAAACAAGGCCTATTTCCGTTTGGAAAATTTGTTGGGTCTAAAAATATAAAAAAATAAAATAAATTAATTAAATTAATAAGACAAAATATCATATTTAAATTATAATTATATTATTTATTTTTTTCTTCTAAAAAATTAAAAAATTAAAAAAATCAACAAATTCTTTCCAAAAAAATTAAAGTGGGAGCAATTTTCAAATAATTTCATTTTTGATATTTTTTTATAAAAAATTAAAAAATTATTAAAATAATATATTTTTAAACAAGATCTTTTAAAAGTTTTAAAAAAAATTAATTAAAAAAAATTCTTTTCAAACGAATACTTATTAGAGAGAGAAATATGGGAGAGAAAGTGATGAGTGGCATAAGTCAAGAGGGAGAAAATGTAGGAAAGTGAAGAAGAAGAAAAGAAAAAAAAAAAAGAAAAAAAATTAGAGAGAGATGTCATGGATTCACCTTGTCTCTGTCCATCTGATAATTTAATCTTGTACTGTGCTGACAGATGAGATATGTATCAGCTTTATCGATCCATGGTTAAAAATCTCTCTCCCCCACTCCCCTCTCTCTCTTCTCTCCCTCTGAGAAAGAAAGAAAAGAAAGAGAGAGAGAGACATCTCTCATAAAACTACTTTCTGTTCCCTTCCCTGCATTTTCTTCACTGACAGAGGAATACCTGCACACTTCCTCACGCACGCACGCATACTCAAAACAGAACTACTCACAGAGCGAGAGAAGAGAGAAGAGAGAAGAAGACACACATCACCCACTTTCTCTCTCTCTCTAGCCACATGGATATGATAAGGGCTGCAGCAGGGTTGCAGAGAGAGATCAGAGAAGAAGACAGAGCAGAAACCCAGAATTATTATTATAATTTCGCCTTTCTCTGCCACTCGATTCATCAAATCCCCATATAAAATGCCCAAACAACTCTTTCTTCTCTTATTACCCATAACACAGAGCTATGGTGGTGAATTAAACTTGAAATTACACTATCAGATTTGAGATAGACTCACTGTTTGTTTCTTTTATTATTGTTATTATTAATTTTCAATGGAAACTTACCACCATTTTGACAACTCTGATTCAAACTTGCCTCCTGGGTTTCGATTCCATCCAACTGATGAAGAACTCATCACTTACTACCTTCTGAAGAAGGTCTTGGACTGTAATTTCACAGGCAGAGCCATCACTGAAGTTGATCTCAACAAATGCGAGCCATGGGAGCTTCCTGGTAAGAAAATTTTCAAAACCCATTTCATTTTGCCAATTTTGATTACATCCCATTTCAGTCTCGCAACATCGATGTTTCTTTGATGTGTGTGGACTTGACGACAGAGAAAGCGAAGATGGGGGAGAAAGAGTGGTACTTCTTTAGCTTGAGGGATAGGAAGTACCCGACTGGGTTGAGGACGAACAGAGCTACAGAAGCTGGGTACTGGAAGGCGACAGGGAAGGACAGAGAGATTTACAGTTCGAAGGCGGTTGTCTTGTGGGGATGAAGAAAACCCTAGTGTTTTACAGAGGGAGAGCTCCCAAGGGAGAGAAGAGTAACTGGGTCATGCATGAGTACCGTCTTGAAGGCAAATTTGCTTACCATTACCTCTCTCGAAGCTCCAAGGTTTGATGATCACTCTCTCTCTCTCTCTAGGTTTTTTTTGTCCCGGTAACGAAGGTTATGGGAGTAATTAAAAGGCGTACCTTTTGAAATTTAATAGTATTGAATATGATAATTTGGATGATATGATAATAAACCGCTTTTATAACTTTAGTTATCTGTTCTTCATAAAATATATAACCTTAGCTATACACAACATTTCATAACTTTCAATGATTTAAAACTTTCATTATAAAAATTGTAATTTTAGGCCAAGTTTGGTAATTCTTAAAAAACTTAACAAAGTCAAAAAGTCACTATCCTATTTAAATCACATCATCTTATTTAAGTCACATCACCTCTCTAACACATCACTTCAAACTCAACCCAAACTCAATTCATATTTTATAAAAATTCAAAAAATGCACTTATTTAATATTCTCAAATTTGGCCTTAATCACAAAAAAAAACATTTTTTATTCAAGAACTTGTAATTTTTCTTATAATGTAACATTTAGTAGAAATCTTATTGTTTTATTATAAAGAAAAAATACACAAATATAACGATAATGATATGACATAGCTTTGAATTATTGTTAGGAGTAATGCTGTAAATAAATTTAATTTTTACTCTAATTACTTACTTTGAACCATTCACTTGTATAAATGCTGCATGAAAATACTTGTAAATAAAAAAAATGTGATTAAATATTATTCTGTAAATTAGGATTTTTTAAATTTATTTTATATATCGTGGGAGATTTGTTGTAAAAGATGAGAGATGTCTTATCTAATTCTATTTGAAACTTTTTGTCAGAAAAATATGCACCGAATAAATTTATTCAAAATTTTTTTGATACACCTAAATGTTTAAATCTCAATTTGATTGTATTTTTTATAAAGTTTGTATTGTCCTCGACACATTCCCACCAAAGGTCGCCTTTAGCATTTATGTTGAGTCATTTATTCAACCATCATTGTGAAACACATTTAATGCAAAAACTAAGTGGTTTTTTTGGCATGTACTTAGCATTATTCAATTTAGATTAGCATCATTTTATTTTATGTTATTTTTTTTATCATATTATTTTGAATTTAGATTAGCATCATTTTATTTAAGTTATGTTATTTTTTTTATCATATTATTTTGAACTCAACTTATATTTTATGTTGTTTTGTAAAAAATTTAAAAATATACTAATGCAACCCTTCCCAAATAACTCCTAAGTTGTTTTTGTATTTTTTTATTGTTTTATGAATAAAGGATTTGGTCTTGAGGCAATGTAATTAAAGGTAATATGATTTAAATAAAATGATGTGAATTAAATAGGATAATAGACTTTTTAATTTTTGATTTTTTTAAGAGATGTTAAATCTAAACATTCCTGCATGTCTTGTGAGTCGATTAAGCATTCCAAAAAAAAGTAGACTAATGCTATATGTATTAATTATTGTACTATTTGGTGATGTTATATAATTTAAGATATTTTTAATATTTATAATTTTTGTAATAATAAAATATGGTGTCATAACTATTATTAATACAATAATTAATATATTAATGGATGCATATAACAAGTTTGAAATCCATATTTATATGACAAAGTTATGTTTAATTTTTTCAGTTGAAAAATTTGTTAGGCTTTTCATGTTTTGATTTACTTTGGTCATTTTACGCAAACAAAAGCATGCATTAGTGTTGTGATTGTTAACTTTCATCTTCCATGATCTTAGGACGAGTGGGTGATATCCCGGGTGTTCCAAAAGAGTGCCTCCGGCGGCGGCTCCGCCGTGGCCGGTAGTGGCGGTAAAAAATCACGTCTCAACACTGGCATCAACCTCTACCCAGAAGTCAGCTCTCCCACCTCCTCCTCCTCCCTCCCACCACTCCTCGACTCCTCCTCTTCCCCTTACGCCCCCGTGACAGACCGCCAGAGCTGTTCCTACGACTCTAACGCCGCCGCCAAAGAGCACGTGCCCTGTTTCTCCACCGCCATTGCCGCCACCAACTTTAATCCCCATGCCGCCACCAACTTTACTCCCCATGTACCCTTCGACCTCCCTCCGCCGCCGCCACTCAACACAGTGGTAGACCCCTCCGCTGCACGTTTCACGAGAAACATTGGTGGCCTCCAGGGTTTCCCTAACTTGAGGTCATTGCAAGAGAATCTTCAGCTGCCGTTTTTCTTCTCTCCGGTGGTGCCGCCGACAATGCACAATGGCAGCGATATGGGTGGTTGTAGCTCTGTCGGGAGCTGGCCGCCTCCGGAGAATCCGAAGGTGGAGGGTGGTGGTGGTGGAAGGGTGGTGTTGGGTGCCACTGAGCTTGATTGCATGTGGAGTTACTAAATTTTAGGGTTTATGATGATCTATCTCTCTCTCTATCTATTTGTCTATGGATATGGTTATTAAGGTGTTGAGTTTGTGATTTTATGGAGTTTTATTAGGTGTTGGGGTCGTTATGGTATTGTTTTTCTGTCATTTGAACAACCTTTGTATTGTTTGTGTTGTTTAATATATTATAGCTTGCGTCTACTTTTCATATTTTCCACTAGGTGGATGTTGTTTACAAATAAACCTTTCTTAGTAAAATATATATATATATATATGGTTTTAAAATTAAAAATAGTTTTAAAAAATTCAATATTGTTATGGAGTTTTAATGGATACCATTCTAGTTATTATTTTGTGCGAAGTGATAGAGTAACGTTATAGATCATTAATTTATCATTTCTAATTACTATATTAGTGAGGTGGCTATTGAAAAAAAGAAAAAGAAAAAAGTCAAAGGCATAAACACACTGACAGTGGGTAGGATTTACTAATTAGTGTCTAAAGCATTTATCGAAATTAGGGGTGAGCAGCGGATATACCGATCCGTCAAAACCGACCGAACCGAACCGATCCGCCGCATTTTGGACGGATGCGTGATGACGAGCGGACGGTTGCGGATTGATTTTCTCCAATCCGCCAATTTGGCGGACGGATAAAAAATTCAATATTGTTATGGAGTTTTAATGGATACCATTGTAGTTATTATTTTGTGCGAAGTGATAGAGTAATGTTATAGATCATTAATTTATCATTTCTAATTACTCTATTAGTGAGGTGGTAATTGAAAAAAAAGAAAAAGAAAAAAGTCAAAGGCATAAACACACTGACAGTGGGTAGGATTTACTAATTAGTGTCTAAAGCATTTATCGAAATGATATTTGAATTCATTTTGTTTCATATTTATTCTTTAAATTTAATGTGTAAATAAAAAATTGATTAATAATTAAAGAATAAATGAAAAAGTTTGTTTAGATATTTTAATAAAGTATCATATCGTTAAGTCTAAAAATTTGGCTAATATTTTGGCTTGAATAACACTATTATTTTATTGATTTAAGCTTTATTTGGATGTTATGAATTTTAGTCAAAAAAATAAAAATGCAATATTTTTATACATCTAATTTTTTACGATAAATAAAAATATTTTAATTCTCGAACACCCCTTAGTATATCAAATGTTTATGAAGACATTGTGATTTGTATTGTGTTAGTGTGAATTCGCAATATTTCAAAGGCCTCCCAACAATAAGACTTCGTTTGCCATAATAAAAAAAATTAAAAAGTTACTATCGTATTTAAGTTATATCATCTTATTTAAGTCACATCATCACATCATTTCAAATTCAATCTATACTCAATTCATATTTCAAAAAATGTCAAAAAAGTATACTTATTTAGGTTATCTTAAACAACCTCTAAAATAATTTATTTTTTCACTAGTTGGAGAATATTTATAATATTAAAAAATTACATTCACTTTGATAATATATTTAAATAATAATCTATTTGTAAATAATAACAACAATACAAGAAAGAACAATAAGGACTTTTATAATAAGAAAAATAAAATATTTGTTCGGTTTTTCTGAAAACAGTTTTTAAAAAATTTTGCGTTCTTATTTTTCGTATTTTTTTTTTATGATTTTTTTAATATTTTAAGTAATTTTTTTAATTTTTAGATATACCTAATATAAATATACTTAAAACATAAAAAAAAATTGTGAAAAAAATCTTTTAAAAATTTGTTAAACACAAAAAATACAAAAAAAAAAAAAAAACTGAGAATTCATTAAAGTTTTTATATTTTTATGTATTTATTATTTTTTTATAAATTTTTTTATTTTTTAGATATACCCAAGTAAAATGCATTTAAAAAACTAAAAAAATGGTTAAAATTTTAAAAATATTCACTAAAAATAAAAAAAAACACGAAAAATAAAAAATTCAGTTTTCAAAAAATTTAATTCAAAAAACTCAAACTAAACACACTGATTATTAGTTTTTATATTGCTAATGATTTATTTTATAATTTCTCTGTTGAAATTACAATATGATCAATTAAATTTGTTCAATTGATTCCACAACATAAATTTTTAAGTAAAATTTATTTATAAGCCATCAGTTTCTATTGATTTTAAGCTTTCATTTGAGATATGAATTGATTTTTTCACTTTTTAATTATTTTAGCTTGCAACTAAAAAATCTCATTTGGGATAAATTTTTTTTATTTTTTTGACTTTTATGGGGGAAAAAATAAAATCATTATGATTTGGATGTGACATTGTCTCATTGACTTTTTAGTTTATTTTATCTTTTTGTGACTATTTTAATCCAAACCGTTTATGCTAAACATAGCTTAAGAATGTCAAGGATTGATTAATCAGTGATACTACTATTAGCCACTCAAAGATAATAGAAAATGTCAAAGAAACAAAAATGTCAAAAAAATTACTAAAAAATCGACTCTAAACAGTCTCTACCAATGATCCCATTTCAACTATGGACATCATTTTCTACCGCATTTTTTTGAACCTTTCAACAATTGGAATAAGAGTATAGGTTGGGTTTCTCTTTTAACTTCAGATGCTAATTTGAGAGAATTTGTAGGGATGTGGGGTTCATTAAATGTACCGTTTTGAATCTTTGAACTAGCCATTTGGTAATGTTTTTCACGAATAATTATTTATGGAACAAAATCAAGTCAATCTGATGATTGGAGGAGGAGAAGAAAAAAAATAATAACTGGCCAATCAGCGGCATGTGGGGGTCATAGGGATGACCTCCAGAGGGGTCCGGATTTTTTTCCAATTTTGTTTTTCAAATAAATAAATTAAATTGGAAAGGTTGGTAGATCTCTATTGCTGGGTTCACCCTCCTATGTAGTACTTTGTTATTGGGTGATCATCCTTGCACTCAAATATTTTCAAAATTTTAAACCACCAAGTAAATCTTAATAACAATTTTCTATTGTGAATAAATTTTGTTACAAATTTTTTACATGAGTATAGTTGTCCATCAAAATTGGGCATATATACATGGCATAACATTTTAGGGTGAAATATCAATAAATTTCAAAATGTGATATTGAAAATTGTTTAATTCTTTATTTTTTCTTATGAATTAAAAAATCTCATTAAATTGAAAATTACATAAAAAGGTAGTCAGTTACATGTTTGAGTTTAATTTTTGAAAGATAAAAGTGGATTTCTCCAAATGTAAAATTACACATTTGCGCAATCCGCATTATAGAGGTTTGGAATTTTCCTACTTCTAGAACAAATTTCGTGTTACAAACAAGAGCGTAACATTCCAATAGCATAACACTCTAATATAACACACTAAAACTTTCTTAGGCCTCGTTTGGGAACAGGCTAATTTAGTAACTTTTTGGCTATTTGACTAAAGGAAAATGAGTTGAACCCCCTCAAGGAGGCACCCCCTTTGACCTCCTCTCTTTCTTATTGGCCAATTTTTCTTTTTTCTTTTTTTCCTTCTCCTCCAATCACCACCCGCCATGTGTGTGTGGGGGGTGGTGGGGGTGGTGATTGGAGGGGGTCTCAATCACTTCCCTTGGCTAAAATATGAGTTAAAAAAAATTAGTATGTTTGGGATGACTTTTTAGCTTTTTACGAAAAGATGTGCAAAAAGTAGAGAGAAAAGAGAATCTTTGACTTTTTTGTATGGGTTGTTGACTTTTTGACTAATTTAGTAACTTTTTAACTTTTTGGCTAAAAAGGTGGGTTCCCAAACGAGGCCTTAGTGTACTTTTTCTAAACGTAACAACGTAACATTCTAAAAGAACTTTTTATTGTATTTTTTCTAAACGTAAACACTACAATGTAATACATACAAAAATTGCTTAGTGTCTTTTTTCCAAATGTAACACTTCAATGGCCCCGTTTGATAGAGCTGTGAGAAAGTGATTATAACTTATAGCTTAATAGGTTATAACTTATAGCTGTGAACATAAACTGATTTTTAACTTATAAATTAAGTTTCTCCTCCCTTACTCAAAGAATAAGCTGATTTTTGACTTACAAAAAGTTATAAGCTGTATTGTTTAGCTGAACCAAACACATCAAAATAGCTTAAATTAAGTTAAAAACTGAAATAAGCTGGAAATAAGCCCTACCAAACAGGGCCAATGTAACACACTCCAATGTAACATATAAAAAAATACTAAAAAATTTCTTAGTGTGTTTTTAAAACTCATAGTTTAAAATTATGCATTTGTCCAAAACTTAATAAGGGATTTTTATACTCCTTTTGGAATGATTTGAAAAAGCACACTTTTTTATTTTTTTTGAGTGTTTAAATTGGAGTGTTACGTTTAGAAAAAGAACAGTAAAGAGTTTTTTTTGTGTTACATTTTTTAGTGTTACATTGAAGTGTTACATTTTAAAATTATTCATTTGTCCAAAATTTAGTAAGGAATTTTTGTACTCCTTTTCAAATGTTTGAAGAATCTTACGTTATTTTGGAATGTTTAAAAAATCTCATATTTTAAGTTATTTTTATATTAATTTTGAAATGTTTGAATAATCGTATATTTCAAGTCATTTCAAATAGAAAAATTTATTCAAAATTTGATTCTTATAAGTTGTGCATCTCACATTTTCAGCACATAAAATAATAATAATAATAAACATAAAAATAATAAAGATATAATCATAAATTCAAATTTTAAATTATATATTAACCTCCGTTTGGGAAGAGAAAAGCCAGGCTTTTTTGGCTAAAGTAGCCACAAAAAACAAAATAGGCTATTTTAGCCACAAAAAATAAAATATCAAATTCAACCCATAATCATTACAATCCTCTCTCACAAAAAAAGTCAAAAAGTCAAAAAGTCCTTCCCAAATCAGGCTAAAATAGCCAAAAAGTCAAAAAGTCAACCCACTTCCCAAACAGAAGCTAAATTTAACTTTTCAAAATTAATTGGTCTATAAAAAAAATTATCAAACAGATCATTATTTCTTGAGATTTATAAATAAATTTTTTAATTTTATTTATTTATTATTTGGTGTCATTATTGGAGTAATGGTTAGGGCAAGTAATTGTCAAGAGTGTACGGATGATACAGTGGAAAGGTGGTGGCTAATGATCAGCCTTTTTTCATCAAATGCTCTTTCTATTTCATGAAACGTTCCTTTTATAAAAAAAAATTATTTATTGTTTGTTTCAGTAATAATG